TGCACAAACCCAATCAGTGGTAGGTCTCTCATGGCTGGTACCTTTGCATTTTGTGGAAGTTTTATGTATTGAGTTGCTACTAAAGGCAAAACTAAACAAAAAGTCTGAACTATTACAAGAGATGCCCAACTAAACTTTTTCATGGAACTCCAGCTACTCCAGCTACTCCAGCTCCTCATTTTTGAGGTTATGCAAAAGACAATTACTACTAAGAGGCATTTCAATATACCTGATGATGACTGCCATAGCCTCAAACTCTGGAATGCTTTTTTACTAAACTGCTTCTTTTCCTGAGGAATTCATCCTTCAGAGCTTTGAATCAAGTCATGACACATGACAGACTTATTTTTAAATTATCTAAATGCACCTCTAAAAAACATAAATTATGCTCAGGCACCATAATGCATTCTGCAAAAAACTACCAGAATTCTGTTCAGAGGCAGGTGCTTTGCTTTTCTTCTGCTGTGTGTTGCAGGGCCATCCCTTGGAAGTTCATTTCTGCCATTATCACCAGGGATAAGAGCCTTGCTCATTAACTTTGCTGAAAGCAACAGAAGTATTTGAGGAAGAAAATCTTAGTCACTACATATTAAGGGTGGCAAAATTAGCACTGCAACAAACAGATTTGTCACAATGGCATTTTGTCACTGCTGTATGTCTGATATCCATGTCAGTCTGCATGACCTGATGGCTGACCTGCTATTCTTTTCTTGTAACAGAACAATTTTGTTTTTCGAACAGGACTTGGAGGAACCAAGTACATCTCTTTTGAAGAACGGCAGTGGCATAATGATTGCTTTAACTGTAAGAAGTGCTCCCTTTCACTGGTGGGTCGTGGCTTCCTCACAGAAAGGGATGACATCCTTTGCCCTGAATGTGGAAAGGATATTTAAAGCTCAAACTAAGAGGTGAGGAAGAAGGGAGGAAAGCCGTGCTCGCAATATATAGTCTGAAACACATGGATGTTCAGTTAGTTTTGCCACTCTGTGTCTCACTGTATATTAACATTTCTTAACATTTTTCTTTATACTCTCCAAACCTGGAGGGAAAACAACTTGAAAATCTCTAATAGCAGTGTCGGTATTTAAGATTTCTACCAGTAGCAAAAACTAATGCAAAATTCATGATGTAAAACTATTTGGCTGTTTTTGACATAACACTATTTTTAAGGTTTTTGGTTTTATTTTTCCTAACAAATATTCCCGTTACAAGCAAGTAATACAGTTCAAGGATTACAATGGCCACACACAATACATTCATAGGTGGATATTCAGGGTGAAGCCTTCAGCCCGCTGAAATCAATGGAAAAGGCCATTCAAAAGGCCTTTCATAAGGCTGGTGTAACCCCAGTGTTCTTGAGCTATGTGACTAGTGTGTGCTGTCAAGTCTGTAGAAAGACTGCAAAAGTAGAGTGTGTTTCAATGTACATGGATTTGTGACATGCCACAAAGAGATAATGATGAAACAGTGGGAGTGCTTCATGACAGATACACATTTTATCGCATGTCTAGCTGATCATTGTGTGAAGTACAAGTTCTGATTGACAGTGTCAGTATCACAGTTAGTTTACATTACACTGCACTTTGTATTTTTCAAAATAAAATTATTTAAAACAAAACTTCAATTGTGGCTTAATTGTATTTACATAATATTTACAAAAATGTTTTCACATTCTGAAGAAACACAATGCATACAAACACAACCCTTTTTGCATCCAATTTTGTGGGGTGTGAAGTTCAGACAATTCTCAGAAGAGCCCTGCTGTACAACATAATCTTTTACTAATTGAAGTCAGCGGGAAAACTATCAGCAAAAATGAACAAGTGTGTGAAAACACACACTGAACTGACTGCAGCTGATAAAAATGTGTTCATAGGCTCTAAACTCAAGCCCAAAATATTTTTCTTCTCAGCAAGTAACGAGGTCAAGACAACTCAAAAGGCAGCTATCTATCTTCCTGAAAGTCAGAAGTTCAACTTCTAGTAGGGCATGCTTTAATTTTGTTCTCTATTGGGATACATAATACCTTTTGTTGTAGCATAATTTCTGCTACATGTTTGCCACAGCAGCAACTGTCAGCAACAGCATGCTGGCAGGACAGTAACATCAAAAGGAAACAATACAAAGGAAGAGAAACCTTTTCCCAACTGCAAGAAATATGGCCATTTTACGCAATGTACAATCCCAGTACACCTTCTAGATGGAATTCTTTTGTGTTCAGGAGGAAAGAAATATGTCACACCTCCAACAGGAATCTTCAGATGTGAAATTAAGATTTAGGAATATACTTACTGTGTGCTACTGGGCAAGGAAAGTTTTCTCCTAGCTTCTGCCACCACTCTTGAGTTTGTCTCTTTGTACCAAGTGCAAAGCACTCACAAGTCATTCCCCTTTCATTAATTCAACAATTGAAATAGATGTATCAGATCAGATTTAGTTTATTGCACACCGTGAAGGACTTGGCTGGATGACATTTTTGAAGTGCACACTGTGCTAATCAGAATTCAGTGAATGACTAAATTCCATCCCTTGGTGATTTCATTCTATGATGAAAGCTGTAACAAATAGCCACAAAAATCCCTCTTTATCCACACCTCCAAAAGGAGGGCAAAGCCCTCTCTCCTCAGGGGTCTGCCAATCCCCCAGCACATTGCTGCTCTGCTCTAGTATTTTGCTGAGAGAAGAAAGATTCCTTTGAGCTAAAGGGGTAGTGCCCCTGTACTTGGCACTGATGAGAAGCCACATCTTGAGTCATGTGCTCAGTTTGAGGTGCCTCACTAAAATCAGGACAGAGGTGCTGGAGAGCATCCAAAGAATAGCAGCGGAGCTGGTGAAGTGGCTGAAGCTGGGAGTTGCTTAGCCTGGAGAAAAGAAGGCTGAGGTGTACAACTGCCTGAAAGGAGATCATAGCAATGTGGGGCTTGGCCTCTTTCTCTCAGGCAGCTTGTGATAAGACAAGGGGAAACAGCCTCAGATTTTGATAAGGGAAGTTCAGGTCAGGTATTAGGAAAATTTTCTTGATTGGATGTGGTAAAACAGGCTCCCAGGGAATGGTGGAGTCACCCACCATCTTTGGAAGTATTCAAAAAACACACAGACCTGGCACTTTGTGATACAACTTAATGTGCATGTGGAATTCAGTTGAAGGTTGGACCTGATGATCTTGGAAGTATTTACCAACCCCGATGATTCTAAGGCAGTAGGAGCAGCACAGCTTGTGCCTTGCCTCCCAAGTGGTACAGCAGATGGCAAAATGGCCCCAGCTTTGGGGGAAGGTAGGTGAAACATGACAAGGCTGGAAAGCATCCCAGACTTTCCTCCTGGAAACAGGACTGCTACCATGCAAGAGCAGCATCATGCTATTATTCCAGTGCAATTCTGTATATCCCTCCTTGACACATACCAACACACACATGCTCCCATCAACTGGAACTACACAAAATACATCCCTGACTCTAGACCACTGACAAGAAGCCAGCCAAAACCAAAATTACCATCAAACTGTTGCACAAATGCAACAGTTTGCAATGCAGAAAACAGCATTTCACATGATACTAACTGCTGCTACAGCTGCAAAGCAGCTGCTGACCATTTTACCCTCTAAGTGCTGATCACTTCAAGCCCACTGAAATATAACTGTATAAAATGAACAGCTTAATTACCTCACAAAAACAAGGCAGCACTGTTTTGTTTGCTTTTAATTTATTTAAATAGGATAAGGCTACTTAAAAGACAAGTCTTTACATACAAAATGTACATTACATTAAAGTACATTTGCTGTACTCAAGTACAAAAACTGCACAAGTGTTTAGTAAAAGGGAAGGAGCACACCATTTCAAAACACACATTTTTACCATTTTACAGCATTGTAAAGAACTAAGCTAGTTTTTGGTTTCAATATAAACCAGTGTTAAAAATGTAAACAAGTTTTCAGATCACTACCGAGCTTCTTTTCTGGGTTAACTAAATGGATTAAGAAGCTGATTCTTTTTTTGTTTTACCAAGTCTGGGAGCATTGTTATTATTCCTATTTACCATCCATATCTAAAACTGATCTAAACTGGCTTCACTCTGAGCCAATGAGTTTTAATAAAAATGTTTCCATCAACTTAATTTGATTTTTGCCCTGTGAGGCACTACCAATAATCCAGATGAAACACCAAATTTCACAGAAAATCAAAATCCATCTTAAATTATCAAACAAAGGGAAAACAGGTTTGTGGGTTTTCTTCTGGAGTGCAATTACATGTGTCAATCTCTCAAGGTACTTCTGTCTTCCTATTTACGTCCCTCTCCAACTGTCTGTAAGCTGACAAAACACTGGTCTGCATTCCACTGGTTTTCCCCATATTTTATAAGCATGATTGTAACCAGGAAAACAATCAAATTTGCTACATTGGCAGATTTTTACACTTATGCATGTATAAAATATGCCTGTGTACTTAAGAGAACATGGCACTAATCCATTCACTACTTCCTCTCGAAGTTTCATGTCTAACAGTCTAGTCACAAATTTCCATCTGTGCATTCCTTGTTTCATATATCAAGAGAAACTTCAATTTGAAGTAATGCTGTTAAAATAGTTCATCTCTTATTACCAACCTAACTTGCACTGCAAATTCTACACTCCTGTGCAACAGAGGAAAAAAAATTATCAGTAGAATGGCCAGTTTTCTCACCTAAATTAATTACCCTTTTAAAGCCAAGAAGGCTCTAGAGATCACTCTAAATTTCAATAGCTATTTTAACTATTTAACCAGATGTGGAATAAAACTGAATCTTAGTGAAACAACGTGTGAATCACAGTGACATGGAGGAGATGAACTATAATAATCTTGAAAACTAAGAGTGGGGGGGTTTAGTATAGTGTAATATCATTACCTTTTAAAGAAGTAATTAACTACTTTCAAGAGTGGATACTTTTAAGGTGACTGGTGATAGTGATTCCAGCTTTACAACAGGGAGCTGTTAAACTTATTAAAACTTCACAGCAATCTGAATCTCTGTAAGTTTGTAAATCTTAAAACCATTTTATTTAAACTGTTTAAATATGACCTATCTGAAAATATGGAAGCAATATTTATGTTTCAAGCACCATTAGCTACTTCATGGCCATGTAACATGTTGGATTTTCTTCTTTGCTTCTGAAGGCTTTAGGTCATTCTGGAATACAAGAAAATATATAATTATTCTTAGAGCTATTGTGCAAATAGAAGTCAATCATTAATCTACGTATTTCAATCTGGTATTATTACAGTATTCAGCAACAGGCTACTACAACAGCTTTCTATTGCCATCTTGTGGAGAAAGCTAAATATCACAGAACTTCTCTGGTGAAAATAGAGCCTATGTATTTAACTACCTGCAAATCATACATGGTTTGGTGTTTTGGTTTTCAGCAACCTACAATTAAATATTCTTAAACATTCAAAAATTTCTTTCAGTTATGCAGCTTAGAAACGGGCACATATTGGAGTTTCAAAATATACTTCTGAAGTTATTTCAGGTTGTCTTCTTAAAATACTTGTTGAAGTATATGTTGAAATGGAACTGTGTAAGGAAAAATCCTCAAATACACAACTAGGAAACCAATTTGCTTTTATCAAATAGTAAAAACATTAAAAAAAAGAAAAAGAAAATTTGGTCTTCCTTTGTAATGACTTGGATAAAAAGAAGAGAAATAATTGCCAAAGCCTCAGATGAATTCATCTTTCAAGTCCCTCTCCCCAAAGAAACCTGCAAAAATCAAGAAATCCCAAAGCAAAGCATGGCAGATGAAGTGGTGAAATAATTCCCTTTCACCATCTAAAACAATAATTAAAAAAATCTGAGAAATTACAGCTTTAACAGTTCACATAAACAGAGTAAAGACAGGTTTTCAAGGACATACTGCAACACACTACTTCGAGGAGCACAATCTAGAGATCTCTCTTCTCTTTTAAAAGACTTTCAGTGTTCATTTACTTACAGGAATCCTGTGGACTACAACCACTGAAAGGTTTAAGGGAATTAGACCCAAAGATAACAGGGATAGTTCTGTGCTATTCATTATAGTTTTCTTTAAAGTCAAGGAACAATGACTTGCTTGGAGCCACAACTGTCTTTACTGTCACTACACTAAAAATAGATCAGGTTTACAGCATCTGCCAAGTACACTGATTCTTCCTGACAGCAGCACTTACTATTCAATAGCACATCCTTTAATTTCAGATGGTAGACTAACATCCATAGAACACACCTGCCTAACTTCACATGTCTGACCAGCATCAACCAAGGCATGACTGAACTCACAGGTATTAACTGGAACAACCTAAACTGTTGCTAATGTAGAAAGTCAAATGTCAAAGGCCATAGTTTCTGAATGTCAGTCATACAGTGGTGCTTCAAAATGTCATCATTTTGCCTACAGAACATTGAAATTAAATACAAAGAAGTTGTGAGGTATATACTAAACAAGTTTCAAAAGCTCTGTAGGTTCAGATCTGACCAATACTTCGAAGAGTTTTAAATACAGAAAGAAGTTAGTAATACTGGTAGTAGGAAGGACACCTCTCAAGCATAAATTCCATTCAGAGCCTCAGCCATGATTCTTTTAAAAGATGTTAAAGCCATCTTTCACAACAGCCATGTATTTTGGTACTCGTGTTTAACAGAAGTCTGATGGAATGTACCAATCCACACGGCAGAATATTATCTGCATTCTTTCCTTAAAGGAAATAATACATTAATATTTTATTTATTAATATTAATAATTTTATTAATTAATATTAATATTAATGTTTTATTGCATTTCATGAGGCAATATTGAGAAAACAAAGTTCAGTGTCATGTCTTGCGAAAATTCTAATCAATGTAACTGTACACTGTATATCTAAAGCTCCCCCTGCAGTTCAACTGAGAACAGATATTCCTATTTCTTCCTTTGAAGCCCACATTTATTCCAAATATTCCCATATTCGAGTGGAAATGTGAAAACTCCTTCATTTGTATCATGTAGGAATACAACACAAGTGTTAAGACCTATCCCTATATTGTGGCATGTTTTTAAGAGATGGCCCATTGCTCCTTGCTCACTGACAAGCCCTGTAATCACACCATTGTCAAATCTAACCACTATTCTTTGTCTCCATCTGGCAGCTACACCCAGTGCCACTACCTACACAGAAGCCTCTTATTGACAAGAATAAATTTCTTTCATTCTGATATCAAAAAAAATAAGCTGCAAAACAAGATACTGCACAAACATACCGGCAAATCAGATTCCTCTTTTGGAACAGACCTCTTTAACTTCACCACAGTAGCTCCTGCTATTGGAGATAAAGGGTAAACCTTCAGACCAGTTAACACACCGCTGTCAGTCTTTGAAATATTGTTCTGGTGAGCCTCATTATTCCTTATGCCCAGTTTAGCATCCTCTGACAAACTGGAAGCTGAAATGTATGTTGAGGCATTTGAAGGAACTGATAATCTTCTAACTGTGTTGGTGGTGCTTCCAGCTGGAGGAGGCTTCAGGCGATCGGCAGCTCCGTTCTCTGTCTTCTTCACCTTTATGCTTGTACTTGTTGAATTGCCATCAAATACAATTAATGGCCGTTTCCTTAAACCTTCCACTGTTGTAACACTGAAAACACAAATCATAAAATTCACAGAAACATAGGTTAGGTGATCAAAAAATAGAGTATCCATGACATGAGTAGCAAAAATTAATTTTATCCTACTTAAAGTAAATATATATCACAAAATATTAATATTAAACTCTGAGATGCTGCAAACTTAAATAAAAATAAATATATTTATATACACTTACATATACATAAATAAAAAGCAGTAAAAGTCACTTCCAAAATATAAAGGCGCAGGGGGCTGTGTGAGGACCAGTGTTCCTCAGCAAGAAGAGTTGTGTGAGGAACTATCTAAGCAGACAATTACAGTTGTACAACCAAAGGCACTAAGCTTCTATCACTGTAGCTGTTCTGGAGATAACTACAGAGATAATAAGTGTTAAGTATTTCAAGTTATGAGTACTTAAGAAAGGATGTCCTGCCTTACCTGCAGGAACAGCATCTCATATTCTGATAAGTCTAAATTTTGCTATTTCCACTCTTAGTCAAAATCAAAATGTTAAGGTAAGTCCAAAAGATTGTTAGCCAAGGAATGAAAAACATTACACAAAAATCCCACACCTTTTTAAAATAAGATTTCTTTGAACAGGAACCCTAAGTAGATTTAGTGACATTTTTTTAATATTTTGTGTCTTTAAGCCTATGTGTAGTCAGAGCAGGCCAGTTCAGTCACCACTAGTTAATGAAAAGGAATACTAACAAGCTAGTATCAAAACAGTATTATCAGAAAACATCTTGACTGAGAAGAAATAAAGTACAAAGTTAATATAATTCACACTATATGAATTCAGTTTTAAAAGTGCAATGCTCAATAATGACAAAGTATTTGGAAAGTTCACATTTAACAAATGTAAAACCCAAACCACCATTAAGAGATATAATATTCCTGTTTAAAAACTTCAGTTTGCAGTTTTGATAAAAAGCTCTTTTGCACCTATTTCAGCACACGAACAGTTTCCTACCCAAACACCAACCTCACAGTTCCATCCTCAAGCCTACAGATGTAAACAAACTGAGGTACTATAACCTCTTAAGCACATGGAAAATAAGCCTGACAAAAGATAGTTCAGTGCTGTAGCCACAGCTACAATTTAAGAAAAAAAAACCACTAAAAAAACACCTAAAAAAACCCCAAATCACTTGAAGGAATTTGTTTAGCTCTTCAAAGTTAGAAACCTCAGTAAAGCTACAAAAGACTCAAGACATCAACAAGCTGTAATACTGAAAAACTACAGGAATTTCCTTTCCTTAGGATTTACTGTTGAACGTATCAGAACACCACTCATGCATATCTCATGTCAAAGTCTTGGACAGGGGGAAGGTTCACTGAAGAGATTCAATAAAACAAACTTTTGAAGATGATTTTGCTTTCTGAGCAAATACAAACAGATTTTTAAAACAAGATGGAATACTTCTTTCAGATAACAAATTTTAGTTTTGAAACAGACACACAAAATTGCTGCAGCATGCATCTCTCACTCTAGATAGACTAGCTAACCCCTGTCCAGGAGCAAGAATAGTTAAATATGCTTTTAGTACTTTCCTTACATACTGCAAATAGGATTATTAATTAGTAATTATACAGTGAAACAAAAAATATTTCTGTTCTCCTCATTCTAAAGTACTTTGAAATGTACCAGTAACTCATTATCAACACACGCTGGGGGATGAAGGAACAGTACCAATTCCCGGGATCAATACAGACTGGGGGTGAAGGGATTGAGAGTAGCCCTGCTGAGAAGGACTTGGGGATGCTGGTGTATGAGAGGCTGGACATGAGCCAGCAATGTGTGCTTGCAGCCCAGAAAGCCAAACATCTCCAAAGCACAGTGGCTAGCAGGTCAAGGGAAGCGATTCTGCAACCCCCACTCTGCTCTGGAAAGACCACAGCTGCAGTGCTGCATCCAGATCTGGAGCCTCTGGAGGAAGGACATGGAGCAGTTCCAGAGGAGGGTCATAAAAATGATCATGAGGAAAGGCTTGAGATAGCTGAGGCTGCTCATCCTGGAGAAGGTTCCAGGAAGACCTTACTAAGCCTCTCAGTACTTAAAGGGGATGTGTAAAAAATACAGTTCTGTGAAAAGAAGCACTATAAGTTAGATAGCATTGATAACATTTAGATGACAAAAGGAAAAAAAATTATCTTCCCCTTTTTCTATTTTTGCAGTAGTTGAATCTAACACTTCTGACACAGGGAAACTAACATGGCATTCTCTGTAAACTGTAACAATATCCAAAAGCTCTACAAGCTTCATTTACCAGGCAAAGATTTAACTAAATGCATTGCCCTAAATTGTCCAAGTCTGGCCCAATAAAGCTAAATTACCTTTTATTCTCACTTTTCAAGTCATTTTGCTGTCTTTTCTTTTCCATCATTTTCCCCCATCTACTTTTTGGCAAGTCACGCTGAGGCAGGGGAATGGCATGTTGAATGTAGAGATCAGTGAGCCCATCTTTGTCCATCTTTACATCATTTTCGACTAATATATTTTTCTGTGGGAAAAAGACTTGTTATTTTTATGACAAAATATATGTTCAACCATCTGAGTGGCATTATTTCTTATCTCAAAATCCACGGTAAACTATTGCACTAGGCCAGGGTTCCAGCAGTAAAGGGGTGGCTGGGGGTGATCAGTTTGGGGAGGCCATGAATTGCTCAGTGCCAACAACAGCCTGGTCTCCTACCTTCCTACTGTCAACTTCCTTCATTTTCTGTGTGGATTACACTCAGCCTGCCCCTTCAGTGAGGCAATGGGAAACACTGGATGATTTGGTCAGTGCATAGTGGTTTGTTTTTCCACCACCTGCAAGTGCACGTCTTCACAGGTTTCCTCACGTGCCTCTTCCTGTGTGTCCTTTGGAGTCTCCTGCCACAAAGTGTCTGCTGCTCTTTTAAGTGCATTTGAGCACAGGTGCCATGAGCAACTCTGCTTCAGATTCTGGGGTGTGATCATCTGCTTTCTTCAACAGTGTGAGAGACATAGGGATCCAGCTGTGACCAGCACCGGGCAGTTATTCACCTTTGCACACACAGGTCAACCCTGCAGCCCCTCTCTACCCAAAACACTGCACATTTTCCCACGGAAAACAGCAGCCAAAAAAGGGAAAAGTTATGATAGACATAATGGTGATGACTGATGTTTTCATGCAGTCTTAAACACACTTCCCTGAATCCAACTACAATACCAGAGCTCTTTTTCACACTTCTAGAAAACAGACAACTAGAATGTAATGCAGGTGAAACTTCAAGATGTAGAGCTGTGCTTTCTTCCACAGTTCCCAGAGAATAATGGAGGTAAGTTTCATGCCAACATGAGGAAGAACTTCCTTAGGTTAAAGATGGCAGAACAATGGAACAAGCTGCCCAGGGAGGTAATGGAGTCTCCCTCTCTGGAGACATTCAAAACCTATGTGGATGTGTTCCTGCTCTTGTTGACCCTCCCTCGGCAGGGGAGTTGGACAAGATAATCTCCAGAGGTCCCTTCCAACCCTAACTATTCTGTGATCCCAGGAACCATCAGTTAGAACACCCGTTTTCTTTCTAATCATGTATCACGCTGCAAACATTTCTTGGTACCTCATGCCAAATTTATGGAATGAGAAAAAAACTCCACGAACATCCTATAAATCAAGGTCACCAAGAGCAGGTCAAGCCTCTGCCACTATCAATTCTGGCAACATTTCATGACTTCTGATGTTGGCCTGAAACCTGTACATATAGACCACAAAGGCATATGAAAATTCTTTGATCTTATACAAAACCCTGAAACTTTGACTTCTATTGTTTCATGCACCTGGAATTTTCAGCCAAGGCAGTAGCTAGCATTCCAAACAACATCAACTGAAGCTTTGTATGGTCCTAAAATGTTTATAACTCACAGTCAAACTCAATTATTTTTCAATTATCAATGCTTACACATTAAAGCATTAGCCTGACTGATTACATAGGCTGCATTTCTTTAACTTCCAGAATCACACAATTATTAGTGTTGGAAGGGACCTCTGGAGATGAACTAGTCCAACCGACCTACCAAGGCAGGGATACACTGCGTATGGACATGGCAACTTTAACAGTGCAAAGCTCATCCTTCCACGGCCAGTTTTACTGTATGCAGACGCTGCCCCGATTTGGGCAAACTGCTGTTTAACAGCCTCGGTGTTCAAACACAGCCCCTTTGCAAACACGGAGACAGCTCCCGCGTCAGAGCCTCCTCTCTGCGAGTTCGTGGTGTCCAGAGCACCGGCTTGGTGCCTGCTCTTCCCTGAGCGCCGTGACTCTCCTCGCCCCGCCTGAGGGGCCGCCGCTCCGCCCGGCCCGGCTCCCCGGACGCACCTGCCCCAGGGTGAGCCGCAGGAATTCCTCCGAGAGCAGCTCCGGGTGCAGCAGCAGCAACTCCGACTCCGAGCGTCCAGATCCCCGCTCCTCCTCCCCACAGCCGCCGCCGCCCGATCGGGCTTTCCCCTGCGCCGCCATCTTCTTTCCCCGGCGGCCCCTTCCCGGACNTGACTTCAGGCCTTTCCCATGGTTTCTGATCACCAGAAAGATCAGTGTCTGCCCCTCATGAGGAACCTGTAGATTGTGATAAGGTGAGAGACTTAAAAAGCTCAGTCTCCTCCAGGCTGAACAGACAAAATAACTTCGGCTACTACTCATACGGTTTCTACTCAAGGCCCTTCACCTTCATGGCCCTGCTTTGGATGCTTTCCAATAGTTTATGTCTTTTGTATTGTGACACCGAGAACTCAAGGTGAGGCTGCCCCAGCTCAGAGCAGAGCAGGACAATCCCCTCCCTTGCCCAGCTGGCCATGCTGTGCCTGATGCCCCCAGGACAGGGATGTCCCTCCTGGCTGCCAGGGCACTGCTGGCTCATGTTCAATTTGCCATTGACCCCTGGGTCCCTTTCCATGGCACTGCTGTCCAGCCTCTTGTTCCCCAGTCTCCATACATCCAGGGTTGGCCCATGCCAGGTGCAGAATTCAGCACTCGCCCCTGTTAAAATTCATACAGCTGGTGATTGCACAGCTCTCTAACTTGTCTGGGTTTCTCTGTAAGGCTTCTCTGCCCTTGAGCGAGTTAGGTTTTGCTGGTAAGGTGAAGTCATGGCCCAGCTGATAGCATGGGACCTAGAGAACATCTATTTTACTGTCCTCTGTCAGCATACAAGAGGACGAACGCTTTGTGCTGCTGCATGCCAGAACTTTGCTTCAGAATTAAACACGATCTCCGCCCTGCCCATAGTTGCGACACGCACTGCTTGCTAGGAAACAACAAAAGTTGCTTTATAATTCCAAAGTACTATAGCTTAACAACAAAAGTTGCTTTATAATTCCAAAGTACTATAGCTTCCTGCCCATTGAAGTTTGTTACCCACTTACACATTTAAAAGCAGAACAGGGAATTACAAGTAGTTACATGAGTAAATAACCATGTACTTGTTACAATATAAAATCACAAGGTAATTTGAAGTACTTGATGCATTTTACAGAATTGCCAGGCACAGGCAACAATGTAACACAATAAAAGTACATCCACGTGGAAGGAGTTGCAGATACGTGATTATGTATGTCACATTATAGCTGCATATATGCAGCACTTCCAAAGGCATAAATTCAAGTTTTCAATATTTAAAAATCATTTAAGTGTACAAGTAAGTAGTAACATTATATCACAAGGCTTCCTCAAAAGTATCTTCTGGCAGTATATACAATTTGTTTCTTTGTGCTTTTCTCTCTTCAGCGGACCTGCGTCCAAGGGGAAGCAAGGGCTGGGTGCCAGGGCTGGCCAAAGCACCAACTTCATAGTTCTGTGCCCAGCAGGCACACAGCTATAGACTAGTTCTATTTTAATTTTCTCATCCATTTCTCACTTCAGCCAATTATGTCAGAAAATCAACTGAACTCAAATAATCTTGTAAATGAATATAGCTTCTAGGGTGAATGTTCAGCCTGTATTTTGGTGCTTATTTCAATGAATGAAATTACTTTATTGTAAATTACACAGATCATCTCCCTCTTCCTAAAGTACCTTGTAAGTTCTGCCTGACAGAAATATATCCTTGCTAACCAAATTATTTGTGCACTGTGATTTTCTTATATTACTATTTACTTTGTAGGCATTTGTACCCAAAATTATAGTTCCTCTTTGATTAACCAAAGCATGTCCTCTCACAGTAAAGTTTTGAAAGGGATGAAATGTCAACAGTCTGGTAAAAATGTAATGTTTCTTTTCCAACTTCTGCAAAAATAATAGAATTTTATTGAGTTATATTTCTTCCATGGATTTGTTGAATGATCCTATTGCATTTTGTACTAGAGATATTTTAGAGATATTGTTAATGCAATAGGGTGATTTTAAATAAATGATAACCAGGTACCATTTTCCATAATTTTTCTTTTTAAGATTTTACAGTTAGAAAAAGAATGCTTTGAATCAGTTCTGATACATTCCTCTTTACTTTGTTCATTAGCTGTATATGTTGTCCCAAAATATAGCTTCTTTCACCCAGTGTGCAAGAGGCCAATCCACACAGAGAATTGACATATTTGAATTATTTACAGTTCTGTGCAGAAAGACGTGATGGGTGGCAAATACACAAAGCCAGCACAAAGACCATCAAAATTTACCTTTTACAAATTTTAGCAAACAAAGACACTAATGTTCATTGGCTACAAGTTACATAGTTCTTTCATTAATTAGTCTTCTACTGGTGAATGATTCCCTCACTTCTCATGCTAATTAGCCCACACGCTCAGTCTTTCTCTTCTCTTGAGCCAGTGGGGCTCTTGGGTCGGTGGTCGTGAGTCAGTGATCACAGCTCTCTCTCTGCCAGAATTACCTTTTACCCAGTCGGAGCTGATTTCAGCGGAGTGGTTGAGCAGGCTTTGTTAGTTTCTTCCTTATCTTGGGAATTCTGCAAATATTTTTGTGGCCAATAAAGTCTTCATTCTTTGTGTCCACTATCAGTAGCACACCCTTCTCGCCAAGCTTTGTTAACCTCCTCCTAGGTCGCTGAGGCATGTCAAGCTCTAAACTTTAACACGGCAATTCTACCAACAAGTAATGTGTCTTTTTAACATATAATAGTTGAGAGTTTTATATATATATATATATATATATATATATATATATACACATAATAGTAATAGTATAAGTCTCTTTTAATATATGAGACTTATACAGTATGTAAAATACTGTATACAAATAACATTACTGTAAGTCTCATATAATAGATATGAGACATACTATTATTAAATCAAATTTGACTGAGGGCACTTTCTGGGAATCTGAAGAAGGCATCTCTCATATATGTACCTGTGTGTATATATACATATCCCAAGGCTTTGGACTCTCTTAAGTATCTATTTTATATAAGTAAGTAAGTTAGTAAGTAAATAAATAATTTACTACTCCTATAGATTAAAAATAGCTGTATTAGTCTCTTCTCCCGGCTGCAGAGTTGTAGAGCTCCCCGAGGCGCGCCCGGGCTGTTTTCCCGGCCGGAGCTTTGGATTTCCCGCACGTGACCGGACACCGCCTCCCGCCGCTGCCGGGCCCGGTGACGCGCGCTGGG